ATCTCCCGCGCATGATGCACCACCAACCCGGCGATCTGGCGATAATGGCGCAGTCTTGCCGTTACGGTTGACCGAATAGCCGTGGATTCCTGCGGCATATTGCTCAAAAGCAGAATGCGGCCCATGTGGTAGGTCTGGATGGTGACGGCACACATGGGAATAGTGAAGATGATTGCGTCGATTGTACCTACATCTCCGACGTTTTCTGTAGGAGTTGGGTTGCCTCTGTGGTGTGTCGCCTCAAGATTGGATAGACATAGTTGTGTACGACCACACGGGGTAAAGGATTCGGGCAAGGTGTCGTACCACGCACTCAGTTCGAACTCTAGTCGCTTCCATCGTTCCAGGAGGTCCTCTTGTGTAGTGCCAAAACATGGACGCTGGCCTGGAGGGCTTTCATAATCTCCTGGGTAGATTCCGTCACCGCTCGTGATGAAGTTGATAATTTTGCCCATAATCCAAATCAAGCCGTTGCTGAGGGTATCTTCCTCGAGCCAGGTACAGTGCGTTGCGACGGAGGTATGAGGATTCGGAGAGGAGGAAATGGGAGTGTTCACTGTTGTGGAGGAAACAGATGGGGGCATGAGATGACCGTGAGCGGAGATAGTTAGGCCAAAGTTGCGCCAGATAACGAGGTCAGAGAGGTCGAGGCGAGTTTGCGTTTCATTGATAACTGTTTCCATGATAAGTATCCGATTAAACGTAGGATGCAGTCGATAGAAGTTGTAAATGGTTAACCTACAGGCAGAAAGACAGTCCTGGCGCACAAGACTCCAAAAGACCGAGCGGGATATGTGCAGTAGAGAGTTTGGCAAAGTGGATGTCGAGCTGAAATCATCTGATGTCCCGCAATACAAGAATGGCAGGGCACTTAGATGGGCTCGCCATTCGGTACTGGGAGCATCGATCAACTCATACATGCATAGAATGGCAACAACAGCGAACATCTCGTCTCGCCGATTGTCCGGAATTTCCAGTCTAATCGCTTCTTTCAGGTATCCGATAGCCTCGTCATACAGGCGTACTGATTCATATTTCAGGTCGATTCCTCCATTGGCCCATTTAAGGGCGCTGTTTCGAAGATGGGGTAACCGCAAGATACGACGAGGCTCTCCCTGGCACATACGGTGCAGATGTTTGGCGGCAAGGGCACATGCAGCAGCCTTCAACATGGGCCGCGTAGCCACCATGACAGGCACCTTAATGGAGTAGTAGGCATTAGTGTCAAAGCAGTCTAACCTGTAAGGACTGTCAGTTCATCGTTCATTCAGTCGAACGGGTAGAGATGCCATTGACTAGGACCTTCTTTGAAATGTCGTATCAAGATTGTTGTCAAACCCCCATTCTCTGCAGGCAGGGCGGGACTGTGAATAGAACTCGGAATCACACCATGCTCAGTAACAGGAGTTATCGGTGTACAGGAAATTGAGCGATGCTTGTCCAGGAGGAGTGTTGGCTCCTCATCTTCAGCGAAAGGATCTTTGACCTGGATAAAGATGACTGCGGAAATCTTAGCATCTGTTCAATCCATCCTTCTAATCTTCGACAATAACCAGAAGAACAGAAGTATAGCTTACGATCAGATGGTATTTTGACCCATGTCTGCCTTTCCTCCGGATAGGAAAATCCCCTTTCATTGGCATCAAGATCGCTGGCACTGTAGTGACGGAATAGTATGCAGTCGGAGAAGACACAATCACGAGAGGACTTGGCACATGGGCCGCAAATAGGCCTCTCCTCGTTGCATTTCACTTTACGTTGTCTACATGTCACACTAAATATATTGTTATAAGGGGATTCTATGTAAACTGGACTGGGAAAAACAGAAGGAAAAGGGTGGGTATGGTTCGTCACCTTACCAGCCAAAGTGTGAGCGCATGTCTGCCCGAAGGCAATCATCAGGCCGGGAATATTGCTCGATAGATCGATTTGTTGGTGCAGGAGATAAATAGTGTTGGCAGTGTACGTGGCGGGGCGAAGAAGGAAAATCTAGCGAGATCCGCCAAAGGAAAATTTTTTAGGTGGTTCGGAAAGTGGCAACGTTAGCGAGGCCGGCCATAAGCCATCGGATAGCTGTATGTTCTACACCCTAATTAACGAATCACAACCATCAATGATAATCTCGTTGGAGCCTTGATAAGAAAGTCCCACGGGGAAATATTGCTCCAATTAGCCTGAATTTCAGCTTGCCCTTTGAAGGCGCCGTCCATTCAGTTATCAACGCGGCATCCTCGCTAGAACCAGTGGATCTGGTCTATCCGGGCTCTGAAACTATATTTGCTACGCATATAGTTCAGTGAAATGGTGATTTGCTTTGCCTTCGAATATACGGAAGTCCGTGTGATTGTTATTCGATATCTATCAATGACTTTATGCCGCTGAAGTACGTAGTGCTAACTGGGAGGTAGATTTACAATCCTGGCGAATGACATGGTGATCGAAGCAGTATTCTGGAATGTCTATTGTAGCTAACTTAGTAATGCTACCGAGAGTACCTTGGGAGGCATCATATTAAATTATTTGATATTTGATAGATCGGTGAGCTTTACTTTAGGCGCTCGTTTGTATGCTGACTGGCATGAAGTCAATATGGATGGGGCGGATGAGCACTGAGACGTGATGGAGGCTGTTCTTGGGTTGACATTTGTGTTTCGGGCTACCTGCGGTCTAGAATGAACCCTGACTCCCCGGCATCTTGAGATCTTTCTCCTCCTCCTTTTATATACATTGAGGTACAAACATTGTGTCTTTGTGGATTGACACAAAGAAACAAGCGAAATACTTCCCTTTTATGGGCATCAAGTCTGGTTATAAAATCCATTCGTTATATATCATAATAAACACCATATCTCAACTAATGTATAGTACAGAAAAGCCATAACAGAAGAGTGTTCTAGTTATGAGGAATACCACCTGTACCGAACAACTCCATCTTTATCCGGTCATCGCCCACACCATAGGCTTTCAAAGCCTGCTCCATTTGCGTCATGAATGTGTCGGGGCCACAGACGTAATATTCCGTAGCAGGGTTGTCCAGATACAGATGAGACGGCCCGTCGAGCTTCTGCAGGTCAATTCTTCCGGCGTGGTGGTAGTCGACGCCCAGCTGGTCACTGCCAGCTAGCTTGCTGAGGAAGTAGGTCACTTGCATATCAGGGATGTCGTTTTCCAGTTTGCGAACATGGCTCTTGAAGGCGCGAGCATCGGTCGTACGGGATCCGTGAATAAAATGGATCTTGCGTTGCTTCTTCTGAGTGATGGTGTTCAGGATGGACATCATGGGTGTGATACCGACACCGGCCGAGAGAAGAACAATCGGATGGGTAGCTTCAGCAGTGGACAAGAAGAAATCTCCATAGGGATGAGATACATCGATCTGATCACCCTCCTTGATGATTTCATGGAGAATGTTGGAGACGTATCCAGGGTGTCTCTTAGCACCCGGAGCACGAGGATCGAGCCCCGTTTCCTTCTTCACGCTGATACGATAGTAATCCGAGCGAGGGGTATCACTGAGCGAGTACTGGCGGGCTTGGGGATACTTCAACTCTGGAACCTGAACACTAACTGAGATGTACTGTCCTGGCCTGAAAGGTGGAAGTGGCTTGCCGTCAACTGGCTTCAAGTAGAACGAGGTGATCTCGTCCGACTCGGGCACCTTCTTGGCAACCCGGAACTGGCGCCAGTTGGTCCAGCCATGGCTCTGCTTGTACAGTGCGGCTTCGCGGTTAATCATGATGTCGGCCAGGGCCCAGTATGCGGCACCCCATGCATCGAGAATTTCATCGGTGCAGGCATCTCCAAGCACCTCCTTCATAGCTTCCAAGAGGTACTTGCCGACAATCTTGTACTCGTCAGCTTGGATGTACAGAGATGCATGCTTGTTGCATATTAATTCAACGGCGGGACCGAGGGCCCCGAGATCGTCGATGTGAGATGCATATGCGAACAGTGCACCAGCTAGCGCACGTGCTTGGTGGCCATTGACCTGGTTGGCGGTGTTGAACACGGCATTGAGTTCAGGATGCGCTGTCAACATGTTCTTGTAGAAGGCAGTGGTGATTTTGGTGCCATATTCCTGAAGAACAGGGACTGTGGCCTTGATGATTTTGATCTGCTCTGGTGTCAAAGGAGCAGCAGACGACTTGGGCACCGCATCCTTCAGGGATTGTTGTTGCTTTCTGTCATTGAAGGCCTTGTAGATGCAATAGCCAGCCACGGCCGCGACGGCGACTTGGGATGCAATTGTGAGGCGACGGTCCATTTTGTGGAGTTATGGATCACTCCGTAGGTGAATCAATAGATGAAAAGGGGACAGATGACGATTTGATCTATATCCGACACACCGTGGCAAAGAAAATGCCCTGCAAGACGGGCACCGTGCCTGGATAAAAATGCGTGAACTCTGCGGTATGTTTGTGGAAGAGAAAGAAGAAGCAAGCCATCTTATTGCGACATATTTTCAAAATTAGACCCATTGGTAGCCAATTGTAGACCAGGTGGAGATGATATCCTGGTGTTCGGGGCAGACGTCAGAATCGCTGCTAATCGGAGGGATGAAAAATGGGCTGATTCTGATGGGCTGATATGGCCCACTTGCTGTGGGTCAAATGCATGGCGATTGGTGAGTGTTCGGCTAGCTGAAGCTTATTAGGTTATAGTCTTTCCACATCCGTTGACGTGGTGATGCCATCACTATTGGAACATGCCATTTCCTCCGGTTCGACCCACTAGCATCTTGTACACAAAATGTCTCGATGGATACTCGGGTATTCCGAGTTCAAGAGTTGTCCCCCTTCCGAGCTGTGCTCCCAATAGCGCATTTTCTTTTGGCTACAGACTACAGCAATTTTCACGCATTACGCGTAGCAATACTCAGCTGAGCGACCCTACTACCAAGGGAGGACAATTATAATCACATTGTCAACTAAAATCCATTGGGTCTGGCAATTTCAACAAATTAGAGAATGGTAATCACATTTACGCTCCAACAACATCAATTACATGATTCGTTGAGTCCCTGAGATCGTCATCTGAGATTTCTTTTAACTCAAGAACCCCTTCTCATTCTGTCCCCACCTTGTCGGTCTGGATCAGTTGGATCTCGAGAGGAGACTCGATCCAAGAAATCACAAAGCTCCGGGTTTTCAGTCCTGGTGGGGTTAGAAGACCTACTGGCTCACCACGCAGCGATATATGAAACATACGTTTGATCCCATGACTTTTCCCACTCAGCGGGCTCATTACTAGCTTGCTGAGAGTCCTGATCGACGAGGAACTGCAGGCTAGGTGGAACCACAGACGACCGCCGCCGGCCGGAAGGTGCCGGGTTATCCTTATATTCGTCCTCTTCGGACAAGCTCTGTAGGTTTGGGAACATGATGAAATGAGAAATTCCAATTCAAAATGGACGGTATATGGTTTCAGTATTCAACAATTTCTCATGTCTGGCTGTATATATGAGAAAATTGGAACTGCGGGAGTCATCTGACGGATGACTTCACTACTCTTCTCTCATCCAAATTAACTTTCTGGGTCACCGCGCATTGGAATGCCAAGCCCAGGAGTTGAATCAATAGGTCTATTCCCATTGAATGATAGCTCTACGTACTTCAATTTACATCAATAGTCATGCTAAGCAGCCTTAGGTTTTGGTTTCAACCCTAACATCTCATTGCCTAGGATATGCTTTCTCAGAACAAATGGGTTCCTTAAGAGAACAGCCAAGCCAATAAGATTTTGGCTGTTCAGAGCATAATTTGCGACATAAACGTAACATCAATAACAAAAGCAAGACATCAAACAATGGTCTCTGAATAGTAGCGAGATACATAGAAAATGTGCTCTCTAGATTGCATTGCATATATAGGAAATGTCCAATATGGTGAACAGGATCATTCACATGACGCTCCGAAGGTTTCACTCGGATAAACGGTGAACCCGAATACTGTAGCCATTTTGAATTCTATAATTCACTCAAGGAAGGTCTACGAAAGCTAGTAAAATCGCGGCTCCTGTGGCTCAATCCCACCATCTACATCTCTCCCTGCCTTGGCCAGAACCAATATACGGTCCTCATTAGAGGACCTCTAGCCCAATAAAGCATATACAAAGCACATCTTACTGCTGTTCTAAAACTAAACCTTCTATTTAACCTCAATTATGTGATTCCTTGGATTGTTCAGCAGCTAAATATTTCGGCACTAATACTTCTTACGTTTGACTCAAACATAAAAGGCCAAATGTGCAAACCTTCTGATTTTGGACATATGACGTACTGGTTGCTACTGCTTTGCACTATGGGTGGCCGTGAATGAGTGTTAAATTGATGTGCGAAAAACGCAACTACTCGACGCGTCTGCAAGAAACAGGATGAACGTCTATCGGTCGGGACAGCAACTTGCAATCGATTTCCCTCACATCGAGAAAAGGGATATAATTCATATAGTACACAGTTACTATACTGTAAATAGCAATTACGAATACTACCATGACATACAGTGCTGATGGCCACTGAGAATGGACAAAAGATGAACCTCATATGCTTGGCTGGTAATCAGGAAATACAAAAACCATCCAATCATCCATGCCTACTGAAGTAGTCATACACTTCAGTGGCATTCAATTCCAACAGCCAGCACCGCCTTATAACACTGCCACATGAGAGGTGACCGACTTCGGGGAACTGAGAGCGTTGGAAGAGATACTTGACATTATCGCTGGGCAGGTCCTGGTAGGGGTGCTTGCCAGTCATTATGAAATAAATGACTGATCCCAGGCTGAAGATATCATCTGAGAACCGGAGAACATACCCCTCAACATGTGGATCACGATAGCGGGTGCCGGGAAGAGCAGAGCCAGGTGCACCGAAAACAGAGGAGCCAGCGAAATCCGAGACCTTCAAGTCCAGGTTCGAGTCGACGAGAAAATTGTGAGGCGATAGATCGGAATGAATGATATTATGATGGTGAAGCAATTGAACACCTTCGGCTGCCTGTCTTGCCCATTTGCTTCTCATAGTATCAGTTATCGATTGGTGATTCCTTCCTATGAAGTCCGCAAGGCTCCCGTTCTCGACATACTCCATCGTCAAGCAACAGGTGGTTGGGTCCCAATCCATCAATTTTGGTACGCGCGGATGATCTTGGAGAATCTCATAGATAATGGCCTCGATATGCATACTTTTCCTATGACGCTCATGTTCACGTTGAAAGTATGGGTTCGGCAGCGGTGTCTTGACCACATTTCCTGAGGGCATACGTTCTAGGACCGCAGTTCCTCCCCAGGCTAGGAATTGGCCCTTCACATGAAAAACGATGTCTCCGAAGTTGGGCACAAAATTGAGACCCTCCAGACTTGGGGGGATAAACCTGTAATGCAGGGCTTCTGGGTACCCTGGCGCTTGAGATGGTCCATTTTCCATCGTCTGGGCATTGCGAAGTTAGAAGCAGCTTTCAATTGATTGGGTTATACCAGTACAAGAAGGCACACGAGTACTGACTCTTTCCTCTCCCATGGTGTTTTCACTAGTTCTCTTGGGTTGATCCGCTTAACTCGCTGTCTTAACAAACTTCAACAGTACGTTAATGCGTGAGAGTTGATAGCGAAATCTCACTACCATCTAAATCACAAGAGATAGTACTCTCGACGGTGCAACCACGAGAGCAAAAGAACGCTACGAGGGGAAATTCTACACAGAAATAAACTAACACATTATTAACTACTTCCCGGATAGCCATCATGCTCTCATACTTCTGGTGTTAGGTCTAGCGTGAAGGCGATCACGAACGGACGAAGGGTATACATTATTCCGCGCTATTCACTTAATGTAACCAGCTCGAGCTATCACAGCAGTTGTGATTTATTTGAATTATGGGATCTTGTTTCTGCATACTCTGTTCATCTATTTCCACACAGAACATGCCTGCCAAGAACATAATCATCAAGGACCAAGAAACTGACTCCACGATACCCCAAAATAAGATTCGACATATGAGACATCCTATTATAGGTGAGTACTAGGGCTAACTGTCAGGAGAGGTACGCAATATACTGATTGATAATGCCTCGGCCAGCAACCAGTTTCAACTTCATCCACCTATCCTCCAGTACATGCTTGACGGCTCTATTTCCCGATAGCCACAATTCATACAACGGCAGTACATCGGCACTTGGAGAATCGATTGTATTCCCATCATTTGGGTGTAAACCGCGAGCAAGGGCTCATGGGTTCATAACTCACTCATACCTGGCAGGACGGGACGGGACATGTCGGTGCCACAGGCCATGATCGCTGGATTGAAGCCATGCATCAGCAATGCAGCTAGGTTCGAGCTTCTCCTGGAGGTGCACGCACTCATAGTTTGTTGTTCGCTTTCAATGGATGTCATTGTTAACATGGGTATATCAAAGACAGTGCCGTCTGCAACAGGAATCTTCCAACGATGCGCCGGGGCACGCAGGTCTAGTTGACAAGACTGTCTGTTGAGACATACCTCTCCATTGGCTGATCGGATAGACGCGATATATCGTTTTCTGTCTAGCAGTCAGCGCGTCGACACCCTGTGTGATGATTTAAATGCCTTGGATCATTCTCCTTAAAAACGAACTGGTATGGATCATGTATTACTCCGGCTGTTGCCTTTCACGTTCCCACGATGCACGCAGGCTATGCCTTCACAACTTCAAGGAATATTCCGAATCGATGTTATTTGGTAGCATTGAGAGAAAGCCCCAGTTGTGCATAAATATCATGCAAACACCACTCTTCGTGTGAGAGAACATATCCACTCAAGTTCTGCGAAGCCCATCGATAGCTATCATTCTTCTAACTGCCATTACAAGTGCTCCTCATCAACGTAAGTGCCACATCTCTCCATGAGGCCATTCCAGGACTAACCATATCATACATAGCACGGCTTCTCTTTCCCCATATCAACATGTGTGAGCGATTCGTCAACACTGTCAATTATGTCAATTGCACTGCACAGCCGAAGCATAAAATTACCTATTATGATCCTCTGCCTCCTTGTGGCAGGCCAAACTGCGGAGGATATAAGGATGTGCACATGGGATTCAAAACCAGGGGAATTTTAACCATGAGATTCGGAACCTGTCCGAAGTGTTGATAATGGATACGTGGAGTTTCGTCAACTCTGAATCTTGGCCTTGAGATAGCGACAGAGATAAACGCAAACTCCTGACCACGCAACAGCAATACTGTACGAGGGGGAACTATATAGTTTTGAAATCAAATCGTATTTGCGAATTGCAATCTATCTATTGTCTTAGTATTCCGTACCAGCATCCTTTGCCGCCTGAATCTGAGAAAGGTCAAAGATTATCTCATCAGCAGACTCGTACAACTGCCTCCAACACTTATCTGTAATATGAGAGCATGCATGGCTATCAGTAGGAAAATGGCCATTTTTGTAACGTTCTTCAATTTCCTCATCATGTTCCCAGTCATTCAATTTCGGAAACGGTTCATGTCCCATCATGATATGGTAAAATAGAGATCCCAGTGCAAACATATCCGTCTTGGCATTCACAATGTCACCATGAACGCGAGGCATGTATGCTTTCGAATTTTCTCGAGACTCCCCATCTAGCAGTTTTTCGCCATTCTCCGACTTGAAAACACCCTGAAAGTCTGCAAGTAAGACGTCACAGTTATCGTCCAGCAGTAAATTGCGGACATTGATGTCACAGTGGATAACTTTTTTCTGGTGTATGTATTTGACGGCTTCCGCAGCTTGTTTACACCAGCGGAGCTTTTGGTCGAAGGAAATATCGTGACCCGATGTGAAGCGATCGCAAACGTTGCCATTCCTTGCATACTGTAGGACTAGGCCATGCTCATTGAGACCTCTCGAGGCGATGATCCGTGGGTGGCTTCCGACGAGATTGAGAAGCTCCGCCTCTACCTCGATACCTACACGATCACCAGGAATGTATGGGTACTTGAGAACGGTTGATTCATTGAGCAGGCCGATAAAATGTCGACCACTGCGGCCAATGATCTGGGACACGCCAGGAGGATAATACGGACGAACAATTCTCACTTCGACGTTTGGAGGGTGATCGGGAATTTCATATGCAGCAGCTGGGATGGCCTGTGAGAGTTAGAGGGGGTTTCAACAAGAGATATCAGCTATTATGACCAACATCTTTGGGGCTCAAAGTGGAAGATGAATCCATTTCTTCGATATCAACTTTGTCAGGGTTCCAGCTAGGCAAAAAGGTTGTAGAGAAAAATAAACACAGTATCTAGCGGAGACCAAAGTAATCGCAGTGTGGTCAGCATTGAGGTGAAAGGCTCTGCATAAGGGTGAGCAATATCGGAGGATTTGAGATTCACCCGGATTATTTAGCCAGCCAGTTGCCTAGCCCGTCTATTCAAAAATGTTCGATGATCTGCGCCTTTCTTAAGTTCGCTGCGCTTGGAGGAAGACGAGGAAAATGGAGACAAGTTGACCCCTTTTTATTGACTGCTTACATAGCAAGGTTACACCTTTTTAGAAAAGTTATTCTTTTGCACATCTAGCGCTTATCGTGTCGGTCCAAAGGCGCGAATGGTAAACTCCACAACGTAATAAAGATTGTCGATAGATTGACGGAGATTGCTCTCAGTAGGGTACATTAATGGTACGGAACCTGACGAGATGATGTCAATCGTGAATAACTCTTCGTTGCGTAAGACAAAGCCACGGAGTACTCTTTATTCATTCCACTAAGCCAGGGACTTTCCCAGTTCTGTGTCAAACAATCACCTTAGCCGTCCCGGACAAAGTTTCGGCATAGTTCTGAAACTGAAGAACTTTTGGCGTGAACTACAATTTAGAAGCCTTGTTCTGCGGAAAAACCTTGATGAAAAGAGATTGCCGTTGACTTGTGTCCCTTAATCCTCGTCCCGTCTACGGGACCTTCATCAAGGCGGGAGGTATATCTTCGTGCAACACCCTATAACAGGAGCCTTCCCGAAGATGACGTAGACAAGGGATGTTATTCCCGAAACCCATGCAAAGATACTGGTGATACTCGTTGCAGCTATTCATTCTTGAGGGTTGCAGTTGAGCAATGGAATAATTGGAGTCGAATAGTACGTGAACTTTATTTAAATACCGAATGCTAGGTCAGGTTCTCTTGTCAACATCGTTTTGAAGCGACTTCAATCACTTTCTAACTTACAGTTCTCCTTGTACGAAGACTTCATGAACCAGCCCAAGATGCAAGCTCAGCTTTCTCACTTACCTTCGGAGATTATCCACTATATCATCGAGGACCTAGATTTCAAGGTTCTTTGTTGTCTTCGCTTGACGAACAGGAGGCTTGATGGATTTGCTCGTGGTTATCTACTCAAAATTGCAAAGGAAATTGCTTTTCCAAAACAGGAATACTACGATATGGCAAATGTCAAACTCATACCAGACATTACTGTAAGCCATGAATACGATGGGTTCGTAGATATACCTCACCGCTTACACGAAGGTCACGACAGGGCCTGGAGGTTTTTGCGGATTTAGTCAACGGTGGCGCTTATCATTCAGTTAAGCTGTTTCTTGATGCAGGTGTCTTTGCTAATGCGTTTGGCCTATGCGGTCGCACAATGCTGCACCTTTGTGTTCGCAATGGCGATGTGGAGCTCGCAAACCTGCTGCTAGATAGAGGCGCGGATCCCAATTGCACCATGCGTTATGGGTTCAGTCCAATGCACTTTCTTCGTTTTGCTCCCCCCAAGTCTCAGGAAGCACTTGCATGGTTACTTCTTGACAAAGGGTATAAAGTTCCGGATAATGTCGGGTGGCTTTTTCGGAGCATTTGCCAGGCGAGTTGTGCTCTGAAGCTTATCCGGTACATGGTTGAGGAGGATTTGATAGACATCAACAAATCCATGGACCTTAAGGGAAAGCGTTGCACGGCTCTTCATATTGCTGCAGAGTTTGCAAACAGTACTGACATTCTAGAATATCTTCTGAGTGTCAAACCAAGTCTTTTGAACATGTACGGGACCAGTTTGCAACGCACGGCCTACGGTTACGAATGCGTTGACTCACGTCCCAGTAATGCAGTTTACCTTCTCAACAAAGGCATTAATTTTCTGCCTGAAGATGTCAAGCCTACAGTTGCTGCTATAATTAGGCTTGAGAGTGCTGTGAGCCTTAACCGTCTGGATGTAATCCGAGCGTTGTTAGCCCGCGGTGAACTCTGGGGTTGGGGTGATGAAACCTGGGAGCATGACGTGGCCCTCCAACTCGAACCACTTGAGTCTGCTATCGAATATCAATATTTGACAGCCATGGAGCTCTTGCTCGAGAATCGCCATTTTCCATATGACCAGGTTCTCATTGACAAGTGTGAAAAGCTGGCCTCCGCATGGGGATGCCTAGAAGGATCGCGTTTACTTCAAGCGAAGCAAATTTTACAAAAGTTGAAGCAAGCTATGGGTGTTCAGTAGCGTCACAATGGGGTTTTCCCTTCCGACTTTCCCATTGGGACAACTTCAAATTATAAAGTCTTCTATACTTTCTCACTTTGCCATTTCTTCCAGGAACTGTTATAAATGCTTTGGTAGGGACGATCTATTCTTACCTTTGGCTCTAAAGAATCTGTGCGTTGATTCATTTCCAAATATATGCTCAGAGTGTTCCCGCAAGACGTCGGCTTCTGTATAACTTCCCGATGCTCTGTATGGTGCCGCTCTCTTTTACAGTAAGGCTCTTTACCTTATAAAGGCTACCTCCCAAACCCGAAAATGTATGATCTTAACCGAATACAGACACCTCCTCTCCCTTACACCAATCAGAATAGCAAAGTTCAAAGTACGTATAATACCACCTTCGTTCCACATTTGCCCCCGCTTTAAATATCTCGATTAGAGCCCCAATAAAAGATTGTGTATAATAGTTTATCTACCTATCCGACAATATGACAATCTTAGACCTCCTGCATGTCTACATAATCCAGTAATGGTCCAATATGGTTGCGTTCACTGCCCGACAGGCGAGAGTTTGTATGAAGACCATGCTACTCGATCATTAACGAGGGTGGTAGGCATTATCCATTGATTGATGTGTAGGAAATGTGTCGGCTTCGCCTGTTTGACCATCCTTCCAAGACGTCGATGCCAATACATTTGCGAATCGTATCCCGGGATCTGCTACAGTTGTATAATGGATAAAGATGTACCAGATAGTTTATCCGTGCCAATGAAAATTAGGGTTGCGAGTGCCGCGTGCAGAGCATCAAGAAGTGACCACCAACTGAGACCCATCGAATAAGTCGATGGGGGCGTATGGGGCTTTTCGGTATTATAGACGCCGAATCATGGTATCGCAGGCAAACATAGTTTCAACGAACTCCTAGTGCCAAGCCACTATCCTGCTTGGCCATGCACTCTCTCGGGATTCTGACATTACACCGACATAGGCCTCCCAATATACTATTTCGGCCATGGTTTGTGCCTTGCTACCTGAGTGTACACTCTGAGAATATTCAATGACCTAGTTTTCTCGGTTAGTGGCTGGAGATGCGGAGAACCTATTACCGTTGTCCCCTCAATCTGGGGTACCCCGTGGGGTAGAAACGACGTAGCGCTGTACCCCTCGTTCGAGGTGACGAAGATACTATTTAAATGTCTCTCTAGAAGCAAGTTGTCTTCACGCTGCCAATATCTGAGAGATTTTTTGTATTCCCTTTGAACTCCTTCTCCATATAGCGGTAACTCTTCGAGTTGTCGAACGCTACAAAATGGCTCGGAACCGTGCAAACCCTGGCCCGGAGAAGCCAGTCGACGACAAGGTTGAGAGTGAATTGCGTCAACTAGAAGCTGCAGATGATACGCAGTTCTACAACGTTGACCCCGAAATCGAGAGGAAGGTCGTTCGAAAACTTGACTGCGTGATTCTGCCTCTGATGGTGCTCGTATATTTCTTCCAATGTCAGCCGATATCCTGATACTCATTACTCATTTCCCTTCGGGTCTAATTTTTTACCCAGATCTCGACAAGCAGACAATTAACCAGGCCGCGGTATTTGGTCTACGAAGTGACCTCGAGCTCACAGGTCAAGAGTTCTCATGGGCTGTCTCGTTATTCTATCTGGGCCAGCTTTGTTCAGAATACCCAGCTGCGATCATGCTTTCCAGATTTCCGATCACAATCTACGTCGGAGTAACTATCGTAATATGGGGTGGGGTAAATATGTGTCTGGCTGCTGTTCACAACTTTGCGGGACTGGCAGCGGTGCGATTCTTCTTAGGGTTCTCCGAAGGCAAGACTCACTTCATATACCCTTCCGCTTCCAAGACTAACTAATCCACTAGGAACCGTCTCGCCAGCTTTCATTATCATCACTAGTATCTGGTACAAGCGCAAGGAACATCCAATTCGCGTTGCTACATGGGTATCAATGAACGGTATAGCCAATATTATAGGCGCCCTCATGATGTATGGTATCGGAAAGGGAAACATGTCACTTGCCCCGTGGCGTTCCCTCTTCCTGATATGTGGAGGTTTAACCTCCGCAACTGGCCTCTTATTCATCTTCTTGATGCCCCGAGATACGACAACGGCTTGGTTCCTGAGTCCACAGGAACGAGAAGTGGCAACTCAGCGCATGGCGATCGATCGCGCTACCCGAGACCATGCAGTGTTCAGCAAAGCTCAACTCAAGGAGGCACTCTTGTCGCCGATGACTTGGATCTATTGCCTGATGGGAATATGTATCACCCTGACGACCCCCATAATGAAGGTATGCCAGCCATCCTCATCTGGAATACGTCGGTCAGGTATTAACCCACACTCTTCCCACTCCAAAGTACAGCTCCACCGTCATACACGGCTTCGGCTACTCAACATACAAAACGATGCTCGTCGGAACACCTGCCGGAGCTTTCAACTTCATTACCGTCTGGATCGGCGCCATCATCCCTCGCGTTATACCCGGAACACGAGTCTACACCGCCATCGGTCTCTCCATCGTCCCGCTCCTAGGATCAATATTGCTCATGACGCTTCCATATTCCGGCGGTGCAGACTGGGGAATTGTGGTAGCGACCTGGCTCGGAGGATGCAGCTCTTCCTTGATAAGTAGCGCCGCCAGCATTATCGCCAGTAATGTGAAGGGTAACACGAAGAAAAGTATCGTGTCAACTGCTTTCTTCGTTGCATATTGTGTTGGATGCATTGTTAGTCCGCAGGCTTGGACAGAGGACGATGCACCTAGGTATACGAAGGGTTGTATTCTGAGTATTGCGGCCATGGCTTGCTTAATTCTTACCTTCTTCGTTTATGTGCTCATGGTGAAGAGGCTAAACAGAAGGCGTGATCGCAAAGCGAGCGAGGGGCACTTTGAGTATATCGTTGATAGGGACGATGGGAATGGTCGTATGGGGGTTTCTGTGGATTCGGATCATACGGATGTTGAGGACAAGGCGTTTAGGTACACTATTTGATGCTTTGCTGTTTTCAGTGGGTTATGATCGATTTAGATAGCTTACCAATATGCTATAAATATATGGAGCTGATGTAGAGTCTCCAGATATTGGCCTAGATTCGAATTCTCCGTCTTCTTTATGATTATACTAGAAAGTACCTAACGAAATTTATAAGATAAGCAGGGATTTCTGGATTAAGTTCTAATGTAGAGCTACTGTAAAATTAAGCAAACACAAAGGCGTCAGGAAATTGACTTGTCTACAGTATGTATGTCAACATTTCAATGTTAGCAAGCTCAAGTAGCCTATAAGCCAAAACGCAGATGATGATGATCAATACGTACTCTGTTCCGAGACACCTAAAATCCAACGTCGCTGCACCGAATCCGCTTAGAAATGAGAATTTGCCACAATAATGATGTGGTTAATTGGGAGACGCAGGGGGTCTTTTGGCACCTCTTTGTCTCACTAATTACCGCTCAATAGCCGACTTTACTCTTTAGAGACTATATTTACTACACAGTATCAGTAATAGTCGATCTATTTCTCGAACAGGAAACTGCTGTAACACCAACTGTCATCGGCTGGCTTCGAATTCGCCGGCGGTCCTTAGTACTCCACTCGGGAATGGATCATGTCACCGACGATGTGTCACCGACGACATATCTTGACTTTCCCCAGGCAATATCTCCCGGCTTGGTGCAACGATTACCGTTGTGGTTCTATCGTATTAAAGGGCTTTCCTTGTTAGAAGGAACTTAAGTGGCAATACTATCTGTTGTAAGCAATGCTCACATTCGGGCGACAATGGCTCGCAGATGTCCTAATATTAACAGTGTTATGTACCAGCCTGAATAATTCTTTGATACAGTCGTTCGGGCTTAAGGTATAAGATTCGCAAATCACTAAATTACGGAGTAGTGATGAGGTGGGAGACATTAGATCATTTACTTCGATTGATGGACGGCAGGTGGGGACTCGGCAAATTGATGCTATATATATTCCGCTAGTAGCAGTAGCAGTGGTGGTAGCCCTATGTTGTTGATAGAAACAACTTCAACAAAAATGTCCTCACCTCTCCAGCATAGATGAATCATTACTTGCAATCAATAAATGTTTATGATTAATTCTGGGATGAAATGCGAGAGTCAGGTGCCAAATGCGAAAAGAGACTAAACTAAATGGGGTTCGGAATAACGGATAAACTCACGTGCGATAAATCCGACCGCTCGGGGCTCCAACAGTCCATGACGCAGGAACATCAGGAAAAATAAACCCGAGAAGCAACACGGCCTTGCAACGGATTTTATGAGTATAACGGGGCCTCTTATCGCCCTAATTTGCTGGCCGGCTACAAATGGCAGACGCCATATCCCCAGCGCAGCCTTCAGGCTGGCGGATCCCCAAGGCGTGCCAAGAGTGCAGGAAGAGGAAGATCAAATGCAATGGTGTCAATCCGTGCAAAACCTGCGAACTGCGCCATACCCCATGTATCTATCGCGAAGTTATTCGACAGCGCAAGAAAAAACACCAATATACAGATGCTCCCGCGAATGATGAGTATATCTCCAATGGGGCCACGCGGGCCGACTACGGCGCACGGCAGCAGTCTCCTGGGGTGATGCAGCCAGCCCGACGGAGAAATCCCTCCGTCAGCTTGACCTTCAACAACAGCGTTTCCGCTACGCATATGACATCGCCATCGTGCAAAGTCCAGTTATACTATGGCTCGACTTCTCACTTTGCACTCATGCACGAAATTTACCGGGGCCTGGTTTCCGGCAATCAATCTGCGGAGACGGAGGAGCCACAGGGCGAAGTTGAAGAAGCCGGAGCTGGCTTGGACATGTTTAGCTTCCGTCGGATTTTCTTCGGAACCCAGGCTGAGTCGCATGATTCGAACAAGACTCTAAACGGACCCGATGCAAATGTGCTGTTTCTACCCTACGACTTGGCCAAAATCTTTCTGGAACGCTTTTTGGCAACATTGTATCACCTCGTGCCGTTTTGGTCTAAGGAAG